ACCTTAGGTGTATGTGGCTGGCGCCTTAGCCGCTTGAGCCACAGGCGCCGAGCCTTTTTTTTTTTAGGAAGTTTTAAACTGTTTTTCAAAGCAACTACCTCATTTTCTACTCCTACCAGCAATTACAGGAAGTAATCAGGGGTGGCCCACCAGCGGTCTCTGGGCCACACGTGGATTATGTGGAAACTGTTTCGCTCATCAGCTTTCATTAGTGTTTATCTATTTAATGTGTGGCCCAGTACGACCGCTCTTCCAGTATGCAGCTGAGAAGCCAAAAGCTTGGACTCCCCTGTATGGAGATTGCCATAAGCCAGACCCTCCCATTCCCTTCTGGGAACAGCTGGAGCTGAGAATCAACTGTCCCCTTCCATGGGGGTGAATCTCCAGTCTGCCACAGTCCCCACTCTGCCCTAAAGTCTCACCAAGGTTGAGGCTGAGTGTCTCTCACCTTGTCGGGTATCAACAGCCCTGTGTTGTCGCTTTCCTTAGAGCACCGAGATCTCTCTGTAACTGGGTCTCTGTCAAAAGAGGGAGGAAATTAAGTTATTCCAAGATCATGGATTTTGAGGCAAGTGGGAGATTATGTATTTCGCACTAGTTCAAGTGTGATGTAAAATCAGTGGGGCAGGTGGATTACAGAGGCTGAGAGCCGAAGCTTAGATGTGCCCCCCTGGTGACTCACTCCTTGGTAAGCTGGGAATATGGTGTCCTTCACAGAGTTGCTGTGGGGATTTAATCAGTTAGGCCAGCACCTGGTAGGTGGTAGGTGCTTAGCAAGGATGAGCTGTTCCTGTGGTTTTATTTAATAGTTGTTGTCCTCAAGGCTGAGAGAGGCAGAGTCTATCTAGGATGGATGGTCACCCCTCTGCCCTGCTGGCCGAGGGTTCCAGGGTGGCTAAAATCTCAGTGTGACCTGCCAGGGAGCTTAGAAACCACAAAGTGACTTCTCAGGCCAGAACTCGGCCCTTTATTCATTTTATTAATGAAAACTAACATTTATTGAGGATGTACTAGAGGCGGGGACTGCAGGAGCTTTCCCTCACAGTGGCCTCAGGAGGAAGGTCCTGTTCTTTATCCTGATTTATGGACAAGGCAACTGAGGCACAGAGAGAAGTGATTTGCCCAGAATCACACAGGTAGGGAGTGTGACAGCTGGGATTGCAAAGGTTGTGTGCCTCCGTGCTGGGCATCGGCCCCCCTTTCTGGACAGGGCCCCTGCTCTGAAGTAGGGGGCTTTGGCAGACGTGTTCTAATTCCTCAATACTTAACAGATATATTTTTAAACACTGGGGCTTTCCTCTCTCCCCACCTCCCAACTGACTATAAAAGTAGTACATTTTTGTTGAAGGGAAAAATATAGAAGTGTCCCCCACCCTGCCAGCACGCAGCCATCACAGTGATTGAGGCCAGCAGTGGGCCCTCTTTCTGTCCCCTCTTCCCCCTTTGGCCCCCCAGGCTGGGCCCCATCAAGTGGTGATGTGTGTGCCTCTGTCTCCCCAGAGCCAGGCCCGTAGGCTGGGGCAGCCCTAGCCCTGGCCCTGGCCCTGGCCCACAGGTCTCAGCCTCTCTCGGGCTGCGGCTTGGCCCCGCTGGCCTTACTGGCAGGCGTTTTGGAGACGGTTCAGACATCTCCAGTGCACATTCCTCGGCGTCGCCCCACACTCCCACCAGATTGGTATTAACGCAGGGAGCGTAAAATTGGAATCGGCTGGCAGGAGGGGAGTTCAGGACTTTTGTCTGTGGTTTTACAACCAGATGTGCTGGCAGAGCGAGGCGGTTGAGCTGGAGGGCTTGAGCCCTTGTCAGGAGCTTCCTGGCCCATATCCCCTTGTCCCAGCCACCCACTCACCCTTATCTCCTTGTACACACACACACACGTGTGTGCAGGCACAGCATGGCTGATTCAGGCTTTCAGTTCCCCAGGGCAGCAGAGGCACAACAGAAGCCATCCCAGGCCTCATCCAGCGTCCTTTGCTAAGGACATGTTTGTTCATTCATTCATACGTGTGCATTCATGCACCTGCCACCCATGTGGGCCCCTTCTACTGGACCAGGCTCGGTTTATTACAGTACACTGCTACACCATCTCTTATAGAACTTACATTCTAAGGGGACCATGAATTGCACAGGGCAATGAGGGCCTGAACACTAGGATCAGGGAAGGCCTCTTTAAGGAAGAGACAGTTGGTTCAAGGCCTAAAAGACAATCAGGGCTACCCCATTAAGAAAGGAAGGAAGGGTGCCATAGGCAGAGAGAGAGTGCATGCAAAGGCCCTGGGGGGGTGGGGGCAGAAGGAGAGGCCAGGGCTGGGGAGGAGAGGCCTTGCAGGCCACAGGAGGACCATGTTTGTCTCTAGTGGAGGGAAAGTTCCCTTGGAAGCACCCAGCACAGAGACGTCCTCATTCCTGTTCCTGATACAAGAAGAGCCTTTCCATTTTCCTAGTGGAACCAGGGAGGCCCACAGAGGTGGTGATTTTTCTGAATGTCACCATTGTCGCCACTTTGGTTGCCTCTAGCCAGGCATACACAGGCCTGTGCACGGTAACACCTACACACACATGCACCGAGCACAGAAAAAGGTGTGAAAAGACACACACCAGAAGTCACAAACGGGCGAGTTGAATTTTACTGGGCCTGCACAGTATTTTTTTTTAGTGTGTATTTAATTGCTAACACTGATTAAAAACTGGGAAATTTTTCATAAGCTCTGAATGTAACATTGATTAAAAACTGGGAAAATTTTCTTAAGATCTGAATGTTCTTTTCTTTCTTTTTGAAATGATAGCATCTGACATTTAATGAGATCTTAATGTGCCAAGCACTTAACTTGTTTAATAAGGTTGGTGTTGTTATCTCCATTTTATAGATTAGAAAATTGAGGCTAATAGAAGTTAAATAACTTGCCAAAAGGCACATAATTATTAAGAGGTAGAACTTAAATTCTAATCCCGAGAGTCTGACTCCAGAGTTCTTTTATATTTTTTGAAACTGGAAGCTTTGCCCTTGAGGCCTGCAGCCAGCGGTTCCTGTGGGCCTGGACTCAGTGTTCTGTGTAAGCACAGCCCCCACCCAGCCCACTTCACTTGCTTATTCCCTGCCTGGCCCCTGATGGCTTCTAGGATCTAATATATAGTACAGCAACTATTAAAGGGAACATTTGGGTAATTTATCAAGACCCCATTTGCAAGAACAAAGGCTTTGAAATCTGTCAAATGTACCCTGAGGCCCCTCTCTGCCACTTCTTGTCTGTGTGACTTTGGGCAGGTCACCTAACTTCTCTGAGCCTCAGTTTCCTTCCTCTGTAAAATGGAGGTTAAAAATAGAGTCACTGTGGGGAGAAGGTGAGGGGACACAGCCTGTTAGTGTCAGGCTGGTGTTAAGGGGCTGGTGTCCCACCGGCTGAAGGAGTGGCAGGATTGTGCTCCAGCCCACACAGACATGGCATCACATCGTCCTCCATCATCCTCTTCCGTCTCTTCTCCAGGCCTTCGTAAAGATGGTTGGGCACCACGTTGCCTTCCTGGAAACCGATGTGATTCGGGCTGAGCGGGACCACGGGGCCTTCCCACAGGCCATGAGGAGGTGGCTGGGCTCTGCAGGGCGCCCCACCTTCAGGAACGTGAGTATCCTGCCCTCTGAAGTGAGGGAGGGTGTCTCCCCGTTTCCTCACCCAACCCCAGAGTAGGGAAAAGCGCTCAGGAAACCGGGGCACAGAGTTCAAAGGGCACATTTTGCTCCTGCAGACTGAAAATGGCCTGCCAGGCCAGATGGCTGGGGGACCTCAGCCCTTCCTTCCCTCATGTGTTTCTCTCTCCTGTGCCGTGACTGCTCACGCACTCAGCCGTCATTTATATTGAGGGCCTACTGTGTGCTGAGTACTGTGGTTCATCTGGGGTTGCTGTAGTGAACAAAAACAGCCTTTGCTCTCCTACCCTGTCTTTGCACACTTAGGGACGATGTTCCAGATGCCATCTGGGTTTCCGGCAAGGTCCTCCTTCTTGAGACACAGTCAGCCTTGGGCTGACCAGAGGAGCCAAGGGAGGTGGATGGGCAGCCATCTTCCCAGCCGACAAAGGCCGTTTCATTCCCCCTATCCTGTGTCATTCTGGGATCCTTTTCTTTTCTTTTTTTTTTTTTTTTTGAGACAGCGCCTCAAGCTGTCCCCCTGGGTAGAGTGCTGTCAGCAACCTCCAACTCCTGGGCTCAAGCGAGTCTCCTGCCTCCACCTCCCAAGTAGTTGGGACCACAGGCGCCTGCTACACCGTCCGGCTATTTTTTGGTTGCAGCCATCATTGTTGTTTGGCAGGTCTGGGCTGGATTCGAACCCGCCACCTTAGGTGTATGTGGCTGGCGCCTTAGCCACTTGAGCCACAGGCACCGAGCCTGGGATCCTTTTCACAACCCTTTATAAGGTTGTGTGTCCAGGAAGGAAAGATCATGCATCACTTTATAAAAATTTGTTTTAAAAAATTAGTTTTATTTTTAAAAAAGAATTTTTTTAGAGATGATATTTTGCTATGTGGCCCAGGTTGGTCTTGAACTTTGGGCTCACGTGATCTTCCTGCCTCAGCCTCTGGAGTAGCTGGGGCTATAGGTATGAACCACCACACCTCATGTCACGTGTGTCTTCTATGGATGAAAAAGCTGAGGCCACGCATGGATCCTGCGATGGAGACCTTCATTGTTTAAGGCACAATTGGGTGGCGCCTGTGGCTCAAAGGAGTAGGACACTGGCCCCATATGCTGGAGGTGGTGGGTTCAAACCCAGCCCTGGCCGAAAGCTATAAAAAATAATTAAAAAAAGACACATCTGTCTTTCCATCTTATTATCGGCTGATCCCCATGTCCAGAGACATTTGCCAATGTCTGGAGATATTTTAGTTGTCATAGCTGTGGGGGGTTGGGGACTGGCATCTAGTAGGTGGCGTCCACCCTGTGATTACAGAACAGCCCCTTATAACAGAGAATTGTCCAGTCCCAACGTCACTTGTGCTGAGCTGGAGAAAGCCTCTGCCCTGAGTGGTGCTTGGTGATGACCGTCATGGTTTACGTCGGGTCTGTTGTGAGCCCTTCACATGCTGTTTTATGTGGCACTGGATTCTCACAGCAGATTTAGAAGAAAGTACTTTTCTCATTGTTGCATGATGGTTGGGTGTAGAGGGTGTGGAGACTAAGGATAAGGAGGGGGGTGTCAAAGGGACTTGCCTGGTGTGTCTTGTCTGTGGGGCCTTGCCTTCCACAGGGAAGGTGCTTACCCCACCTCACCCTGCCCTGTCCTGTCTGCCCTGCCTGCGCCCTGAGCTCTGCCTGTGGCCCCATCTGCTCCTCTGTCCCCACTGTTCCTCCTGCCTGTCCCCCACCTGCCTGCCCATCTCCACTTTATTTATCACGGGGTTCCAAGCTCTGAGGCCTCTTGTGTGGGGGGTATTAAACCGTATCCTTGTTTGACAAGTGAGGACATGGAAGTTCAGAGAGTTACAGTCCTGTAAACTTACTCTGTTTGGCCAGACAAGCTATTTATTTATTTATTTATTTATTTATTTTTTGAGACAGAGCCTCAAGCTGTCCCCCTGGGTAGAGTGCCGTGGCATTACAGCTCACAGCAACCTCCTACTCCTGGGCTCAAGCGAGTCTCCTGCCTCCGCCTCCCAAGTAGCTGGGACCACAGGCGCCCGCCACAACGCCTGGCTATTTTTTGGTTGCAGCCGTCATTGTTGTTTGGCGGGTCTGGGCTGGGGATTCGAACCCGCCACCTTAGGTGTACGTGGCTGACGCCTTAGCCGGTTGAGCTATAGGCGCCGAGCCCAGACAAGCTATTTAAACGGTGTGACTTGAGACACCTGACTGGGCAGGCCCTGGCCTCACACCTGCATCTTTACACCTACCTGAGGCCTGTGCCACTCAGCAGCCTACCTCCAGGTGACTTGTCCAAGCCTAGTAACAGTGGCCTCGCAGATCTCAGGCTTTAGGAGCTCTTACTGATCCTTCAGAGCCCAAGTTAATGCTACCTCCTGTGAGAAGCTCTTGGGCTTGTTTTCTCTAGACAAACTCGGTCTCTCTGCCATCCAGTGACAATGACATCATGAAATGCATCCTTTATCCTCTTCCTCAAGTTATGGGGACCATTCCTGGTGATAGGGATTTTAGAAGCACTTTACAGGGAGAAAGGACAAAGGACCTTGGCCATATCACCTACAGTAAGTATCCCAGCAGTGGGTCCTGCTGGGCCCTCATTCTGCACTTGATACTTCCTATAATCTGTGCAATTGTCCCCATGAGTTTGGCACTAGTGTTCTCATTTACAGAGGCAGAGACTGAGGGTTGGAGAAGGACAGTCACCTACTGAGGTCATTGCTGGGTTTGGAACTCAGGCCTGTGGGACTCCCAAACTGGGATCCCTCTGCCACTCCTGCTGCAGGGATGTGCCATCCCCCCAGGTGTGGCTGGGCACGCTGAGACCTGTACCCTCTCCTCTCTGGGCTGTGCTAAGCCATGGAGAGGCCCCCTGGCTACCTGTGGTGACTTGTTCCAGGAAATGCGTCCCAGCCAGGGGTGGTGAGTCATTCAGCAACCCCGATGTGTTGATCTTGGCCCACAAGGGCTTTGTCTGGGGGAGCAATGCAGCCAGGTACATGTCCATGTGTGTGTAGACCTGAAGGCTGTGACTGTACCCGGGGCGCAAGCTGAAAGGCTTGTTCTAGAATAACCGTTGTCCTGGCTGGTGTCAAGGCCAACTTTGCAGATGCCTAACGCCTTTCACCCTGTGAAATAGGTCTGATCTTTGTTCCTGTTAACAGATGAGGAAACTGAGTCCCTGAGGGTTTGAAGTGCTTGGCACCCCAGTGAGTGGTGGAGGCGGGTTTCAGACCTGTGAGGCCTGGACCCAGAGCTGGTGCTCTGTGCCCTGCCAGGCAGTTCTGTGCCCAGTCTGACCTCTGGGCCAGCTGTCTGGGGAGGTAGGAGTCCTTGTAGGGCACCTAGATGGTGCTCCGTCTCTCCATTCTGAACTTCCCCAGGGCTAGGATTTCATCACAAGTCAGTCCCCCTCAGGATCTGGCCTGGGTGGACGCCTCATCTCAGTGATTGCTGCCTTTGCCTTCAGATGTTGACACTTTTGAGGCAGGAGCCACACAAAGCCCTCTCCTGTGGCCTGAGGGGCCCAGGCAGCCGGCAGGTCAGAGGACTTTGTTCTCTCTGCTACTCTTTCCCCTCAAGACCCCATTGCTCTGCTAAGGGGAATTTCAAGGGACCTGCCAGCCCAAGCCACATGACCAGTCAGGCAGAACAGGCGTGCGGTGCCCCGGGCTGCCTCCTTTCCCCACCTGCCTCCTGCCGTCCTGTGTTGCTGAGGAGTCCATGGAGTGGAGAGGGCTGGGGAGAGGGCTTTGCCTGGCCCTGGGGACAGGGGCATGGGCTTTTGCTCCTGCCCACTGCTGCAAGCCAGGGAGTGGTGGGGACCCCCTCGTAGGAACCAGGAGAGAGTGGCCTCAGCCTTTACCTCTGAAGCTGTGGCAGGGCCTTTCAGAGGGTGTTTGTACTCTGTCCACTCATCAGAGCAGTCGTTGGGGGTGGACTCTGTTTTTCCCTAACCTTTCCAGCCTTGCCTTTCCCAGATCACCTCCTCTTCATCACTCTGCAGATGTGGTGGGGAGGCCCAGGGATAGTGGGGGCAGCACAATAGGTGGGGGACCAGGAAGCAGTGTCCCCACCCCTCTGCCCCTACAGTGGGGACCCAGACCACACTGGGTCTGTGTGTTTCAGTGCTAAGTGTGGACACTGGCTGTGGCCTGGGTTGGCCCTAGGAGTGCTGTGGAGAAAGTGGCTTGGGGACCACTCCAGTACACCACCTTATAGTGAGGCCACCCCCATCCCTCGACTGAAGCCCAGGCCTTTCAGCCCTGCCTCTGAGTTGCCTGGAAAGATGCGTTTCAGCCACAGATCCAGAGGCAGCCCAGCCCCCAGCCCCAGATGTGCGTGTCCACGCTACACTGTGTGTCCTTTTGTGGTACCGAAGTCAATACTTTCATGCTGTAATATGTAAAGAACAGTTTTCTTTTTCTTTTTCCTTTTTCCTTTTAGAGAGACAGGGTCTTGCTCTTTTGCCCAGGCTGGAATGAAGAGGTATAATCATAACTCACTGCAGCCTCAACCTCAACCTCCTAGATTTGAAATGATCCTTCTGCCTCAGCCTCCTGAATTCCTCCTGAAATTATAGGTGCACACCACCATGCCTGATAATTTTCTTTTTCTTTTTCCTAGAGATGGGGTCTTGCTATGTTGCCCATTCTGGTCTTGAACTCCTGGTATCAAATGATCCTCCTGCTTCAGCCTGCTAATGGTGTGAGCCACTGCTTTGGCCAGGGAAAATTTTTTTACTATACTTTCACATTGATTTTTTTTTTATAACATTACAGGTTTTTAACTGAGATTTACACCTCTTTTTCATATAGCTAAACCCCATCTGTGACATTCCTTAGCCGTGTGACCATGGGCAAGTTGCTTAGCCTCTCAAATCCTCAGAGTCTAATGGTCAGTCAGCTGACATGGACAAGGTCGCGAGAGGCTTTGTTTGCTAGAAAACTAGTTCAGATTTGATACAAAATGATAAGGGCCTGACCC